ATGCATAAAGATTTTTATGTTCATTTTCATACTTGATACAAATATAAAAGTTCAAAATGTGTCTAGGAAATCCTATGCAAAAAGTTCCTTTGAAAAGCAAAACCACAAAAGAAACACCCCTTATTACAGGATTACTAACTTGGAAATGCTTAGGGTGTCACCTTGCGGCATGATTATTTCTGACTTCGTTCTTGCATTCTATGTCATTTTTTATATTTTTTTTAAACAATTCTTTACTCTGTAATAATATCTTGCAAAAAAAAAACATGCAGAATTGTTACATCGGAGTGGAGACCACACACTTCTTGAGGTGTGCATCCGTTTAGCGGCGGTCAGCGGCGTAGACTTTCCATTTTCCCGGGGGGGGGGGGGGGCCAGGGGCCAGGACTGGAGATTGAAGCTAGCGAAAACACGCTGGAATTCCATTTTCCATGTATTTTGTCAATAAAGGCAACGTGCGCGTTATTTTGTTTACATGCCGCTACTAGAAGCTCGTTACATGGCACGTAAACAGCGTCTCGGTAAGGATCATGGCCCGGGCCCGGGGGGGGGGGGGGGGGGCTTTGCTTCCCCCCCCCGGATTTCACAAGGGGAAGCACGAGCCCCGTTGCTCGCCCCCCCCCCCCCCCCCCCCCCCCCATAGTCTACGCCTATGGCGGCGGGCAGAATGCGGCATGTTTCTCGCAAACCCCTAAAACCTATTGGGCAGCTGTGTACGTTAAAAGTGAATTGGCGTCACTTGTGACACAACGATAGCTTCTTGTTTTCTTCCCTTCCAGTGTAGGCTATCTTCACTCTGTTTTCCAAGAAGTATGAATGCGAATTGTAGTTAATTTAAGTGCGAAGACACAATTCACTCAAAGTTTCGGAAGCTGAGATTCAGTTCATAAAATGAGCTAACTCTCGGTTGCAATACTCAAGGAGGCCGAGAGGTAAAAAAGATTGTAGAAGCCGAAAGAAAGGGAACAGATCTGATCGTCAACTGTCTGGGACTGCTCAGGAAATAGCCTTAATAATGCCTCACATAACCGGAAACGTCGATAATTGCCTGCGACGTTGACGCGTTTTGTTCGCTTGCACGTTGACCGGAAATCATGGCTGCCGAATGGGCTGCTCCGGAAGAAACAGGAAACGCACTTCTGTTAGCTATGCACCTGACTGGCTTTAGGAAACCTCGGCGTGCAGCGAGTTTCGCACGCGGGTATTGTGCTTGAGGTGTGTGGCTTCCACCCATATCACGCATCCAGCACTCCATGAATCATGCACCTTTCTAACATGGACGCGACAAGGTAAGCAATGAATATTGCGATGGACCTTTGACCGCAAGTCTCAGTGTAAAATTAGTTTTGGCTCAAATAAACTTGTTTTTATGTGACGGGCAAAACACAGTTATAATATAAAATCGCGTTTCCAACAATAGATATAGCTTTTTGAAATAGCTAGATCAATTGCATCAACTAGGAATGCTAATTAAACGACAGCTTTTGGTAAAGTATGACTCACTGGTTGCGCCGAATTGGTGATCCGATATCTCGCAAAGTGCGTGCGCCTTTCTTAGTGGGCGAATAAAACCTCACGGAGTCACGTTTGTTTGCCAAGCGGTGCTGGCTAAAAAACACAAAAATTATATATTTTTTAAGTGCGCCGCTGCAGATCTCGTCCTAAATCCGATAGCATTTCCAATTTGTGTTTCTATGAATGTCGCATTTCAGTAATTTATTTGAGACGGACTTCGTTCCTTCCCTTAGCCCTTGGTTGCATCAGAACGAGCCCACCTTGGCCCTCTGTACCTAACATATAACACTGTTCTCGAGCGAGGCGTTGCGATCCGATCTTTTCCTTGCGAGGGGTTGTGAAAACTGTCAGGACACTTCCAGCAAGTGTATGTCTTCCATCATAGGGTGGATGAATAGATAGATGGTATTGGCTGCAATCCTTGAGCTGGGCGGTAGCTTGCAACACCTTGCCTAGGTATATTTTACTATAAATAAGTATCTCGGTAAATTAACTATTTCAGTTATTTCTTGTAATATCGCGCTTTTCTATACCTTTTATACCAATCTTATAAGCTACATTTTGTAATTGTAATCTTTTGCTCCTCCGTTCCTTCTTTCTGCGAACAAAACCCAGTTCCCACGCCAAATGCGTTACCCTTTTAGGGAAGGCAGGACGAAACCCCGTGCCCTTCGAAATTGCATGTTCTATACTTCGTTTCAGCTCCGGTCCGAGCGCGGCCGATGTTATGAGCCGAAGGGCCAATCAAACAGCGAAAGAGGCACAACGTCATGGCGTGCTCTCTGCAGTTGATAGGACCAGCCGGTATTCGCCGTCTCTCTTGGCGTGCTCCTCCGCCGGCTAGTCTTATCAAGCAGAGAGAGCACGCCATGACGCTGCACTTTTTGCGGTGTTTGATTTGACCTTCAGCTCATAACATCGGCCGTGCTCGGACCGAAGCTGAAACGAAGTATAGCGTCTCGCCATCTCTATGGCACACGCACATACGTGACTATCTTTTGAAATTTAGCAATTTATGTCTTTGTTCTTAACACTCCGATCGGGTCTCAAACAGTAAGGTGCTTCGTCATGAATTACCAAACCTCTGCTCCTTTCTTATGTCCCGGTTTTTGTGATCTGAATAATATAAAGGTTAATCTCTTTTGAATTCTTTGCTGTCACATTTTCCTTTCTGCTTCGTTTACTTTCTTTTACAACGAACTAGTCCGCTTAGCGGCAACACTAATGTGCAGGTATTTACATGTCAAATTTCGGGCTCGGTTCGTTCATTCTGTGTTTAAATTTTTAAGCATGGTTTCTCATCTACTTTCCATGCCTACCGCGTATCCCCAATATATATTAATTATTTAAATTGATTTTTAAGGACTGGCCCCTCTACTCTCAATGGCCGACCAGCCCATGTTCCCCTGTACTTCCTCATTAGGTGTATCCGCATACAGTCCCTTTTTTTGTTGTTAAACAACATTACCCCATACTTGTTGCTATTAAAGCTGACGCCAAACATGTCCCCTTTCTCTAGATATATTCCAGTCAGTTCGCGCACGGTATTTTGGATCTTTTACACGAGTACTCTGTCCTATGACCGCTTTCAAAAATTGGGCCCCTTATTGTTTAATATCTGCTCAATTCGGGACACAAGCGTGAGCTCTGAGAGTTCGAGTGCGTCTTGACTGCGCACTGGAGCCATTCTCATGTTCCGCGGTTTCGGATGGCGAAAAGAATGATATCATGTTTAATATCAACCCTTTCCCGGTTGCCTCAATTGGTGCTTCTAGAAGAAGGTTGTAGACGCCTTGTTCTTTATGAAAGTAGAGTTTTCTTTGGGAAATTTGATTAGTGTTTTAAGGAAATGTTTGTCTCAGGCGTTAGTTTACGATTTATTTTCCTCCAACTTTAGGGATCAATTTTAGTGACAGTTGAAGACAGAATTTTCTAAAGCGCATTAAAACAAACTTTATCGCCCAGCGCAGTCATTTTTATTTTAGTAGCATACTTCAACACCACTCGTCAAGTGGTGGTTCCAGGAAAAAAAAGTTATGTTTCTCATGTTCGGTAAACTGTTGATTATATAACACGCCTGAGACCATGAAACATTGCTTCATTTTCTACAATGACGCAGTTTTTCGTGGGGAGTTTTTCCACGAACTCTGAAAGTGGATAGAGATTTTACGGAACGTAGTGTACGATTTCGTGCTGTTGAAACGCAGAAACTTATTTAATAGGATTCATTCGCGCTTCTAGGCGTGCATAACATGTGGAAGTGCCGCATGACAGGATGATAGGCAGAAATGCTGAATCACCACGTACAATATCCCTTATTATTGAAGAATTTGACGAAGAGCGTATACTAAACACGAGCACCTTGCCATAAGAAATTCTATCGCATTAAAACAAAAAGCCACAACGGTTAGAGGTAGCTTTGAATGTTTCGTTCTTATTTGTCACGAGCAGGTGCCGGGGCTCTGCTTGGCCGCGCCTTACATTCCAACGGGCTATGAGAAAGTCGCATAAACATTCACCCCGCAAGAGATGGCACCCGGAAGTAAGACATCCTCGGAGCGCTCATCCACTTACCTTGCACGGCAACAGGCCACTTCAGGGCATCCAGTTTTCACATGTTTACACAGTTTTTCCACACTAACTGATCACATCCCGTGTTACCAGTGCCTTTGACACGCTAGCACCGCAGAAAAAAAAATTATATTATATATTTAAATAACAGAAAGGAGTATGGGGAATTTCGATATTACTACACAAAAAAAGTAATCCCGTATGAGTCATGCGCTGTCGTACTTGAGTGCGTCTTTAGACGCGCCGCTCTTCAGTTGGCCGTGGGGAGCGCGTCTTTAAACGCTCGCTGTTTATATTGCACGGGAGGAAGTGCCATCTATCTCCTAATACCGAAAAAGGGTTTGCTTTAGAAACCAACGCATAGATGGCAGCGCATAAAAAGTTTGACAAGATACGCGTGGTACCAAAAATTATTTGCAAAATGTGAACAAGAAGGGTCTCCATTTTGCCAATATTTTTCTAGTCATGGAAGACCCACTTAAATGGCTTAGCTCCGCTATGTTGCCCGGAATTCTTTCGCTTCTATTTACTAAGGACGTAAGCAGACGGGTTCTCAAAACGCAAGTAGGAGCACAAATAACTATACTTACCTTTTGAGCAAATTTGTTTGCTGGCGCATAAATGAAAAGAAGGAAAAAAGCAGGTTTTGCGTGACCTAAAAGTAGAAAAAAATTGGTAGGTCACCGAGATAGTTGCAGCAGTATTCTGCGTTTAGACACCTTTTCCGTGCCAAGAGAAAGGCTGGTGGTTGCCGACCTCTCGCCGCGAAACAAAGTAAGACGAATAGACGCCATAATCATGCATTCTTCGAATTCACTCCTCAGAAACTCGCGACGTCTCGTTTTTGTAGACCCCCGAAATGTTAGCCGTGGTGTTAGTTTCCGGCGGTCCGTACAATAGAGTCGCGGACTCACCTGCTTGACGAGCTGGATTGGGAAGCATTCTTCGCCAGGTGCCGAGCCCCGCACGGGGCCCGCCGAGAGCACCTCACAGCCGGCGAGGCCGATCGAGATGACGGGCTGCTTGTCGCTCACCTCGTAGAAGGCTTCCAGGTGACTCGGCTGCAGCGTCACGTACAGCCTGTTCGGGGGAGGGGACGCCAGATCAGCGGAACGCGAGAGCGCCCAGCGAAGTGCCGGCTAACTGAGTTTGGACAATCATTAAGCCGGGGTCGCACTGTTCATACTTCTTACAAAATAATGTCTGCATACACGATTCACCGCAATATATACATATTTATATACAGGGCGTTTCACGTAAGAGCGACAAAATTTCTACAATTAGTGTATTTAAGGTAGAAAGATAACTTTCTCGGGATCGCATTACTCCCTGGTGGCGGACTTCGGAAAATACGCGATACTTACTAATTTGTTTGTTAATTAATTGAAAATGACTAAATGCCTTTTTAATTAGTGAAAACAGACATATGGTTACAATTAGAAGCTTGCCGAGCGTCACCTGAGAAGCGAAATGGTGCACTAAAATTGCCATTCGTTGAGCAGGTACAAGGCTAGCGGTTGCGGTACGACGCCAGCGTGATTTGTCCGTCTCTTCTGAGTACCCCAGCCTTGCACCTGCCTGATTTATATATATATATATAGCAGCAGACCTTATCAGCCCGCGCCCCACGCAAAGCGACACACAACGCATAAATATAAATCTAATTTATACCATGAACCATCCTAATGTAAATAATTTCTTAAGACGACATTATAACATTCTCGAACAAATCGAGCGCCTTAAAAGTGCGTTTCCATCCGCTTCTGGGGTAGTCCACAGACGATCGCGTAACCTCAAAGACGCGCTAGTAAACTCTCGAATAAATTCGTCGTCTCCACCTAACGAATGTAGGCCTTGCATGCACCCAGGATGTCTGATCTGTGAACAGAGGGCGGCGGAGAAAAGCTCACCGGAGAAAAGCTCACCGCAAAACTGGCAGATGCGGAGAAAAGCTCGTAAACAGATGCAGCACACAAACACGGCCGGCAGCACGCACTCGCAGTTCTCGATCAAAATTAAAGAGAACTTAACTTGTGCCTCGTCGAATGTCGTGTACTCATTCGAGTGTATGGTATGCAAAATGCAATACATAGGGGAGAATAGAACGGCATTTAGACTGCACTTTAAAATCACAAATCTTACGCCATAAATCGTCCGACACTGCCTCTATCCAAACATCTCGCGCTCCCAAAACACTCGTTTGATAAATTTTCAGTGACGCTCCTAGAATCTGGATTTAAATCAAATCACGAACGTGAACAGCGTGAATCCTACCTAATTTACCGATTCAACGCTATTAAACAAGGAATAATTGAAAGCCCCGGTGCTCTGGCATCGATTAAAATGCTAACAGACAAATAGCAACAGCTATCAGGGGACATTTTTTCAGGTCCCAGACCTCATTGTTAGCAGTGGTACTGTGTTTGTAGCCTGAACTGGACCATCAACTTTTCTCTTTTATTTTCAGGTTTTGATATTCATTTTCTTTCTTTTTATTTCTAGGTTTAACATTGTTCCCTTCCAGGTCTGACTCATGCAAGGCCCACAAAACAACACAAGTGACCGTGCCGTTTTTTTGTCTTTTTCTTTTTTTGGGACAGCACTTTAGTTTGCGTATGCACCGTTCGTTTATTGTACGCTATCGTCCAGGTCATCCCTGCCCGCCCGGACACAAAATCACCCTGCGCCCCCTCTCAAGAAGCTACAACCGTCATCCCACCGTCCTTGAAACTTGACCCCGACCGTCAGGCTTCTTCACCCGGGTACGAACTGCCCTACGCTTCCATCTCAAGAAAGCTCTAACCGTCGCCTCGCCCAAATTTGGACCCGACCGTAGAATTGTATAAACGTTTGCCCATCTGGAACTCTTCCCACGCTTCTTTGGAAACTCCAACCGTCATCCCGCCGTTTTTGAAACTTGGACTCGACCGTAGCATTGTATAAATTCCACCTGCGTTCATCTGTAAAAGTTCTTTCTGACGAAGTCCGGACTCCGGCCGAAACGTCGAAGAATAAATCGTCCGTTGTTGCTGTTTTCGCCAAGGGTTTTATTCTTCCAGTTTATATATATATATATATATATATATATATATATGGGTGATTTCATTTCAACTCAGGCACGGATTTTGGGTCGAATTTTTAATTTTGACGAAAAAAATTTATGTTTTGGGGCAATTCCTATAATAAAAGAAGACGCAAACGGTTATTTCGTCGGATTTTTTGTTCTCAAGTTATGGACCGTTGAAGCGGCCAAGGTGGAAACTGACGTTTTTCCAGCTGATTGGAGGGGCCACATTTCACTCCATCCCTTTTCCTTACTTTTTACGCTACATCAATATAACCTTTTGGGAACACTCTAGACATAGGCGTTTTCATTCTAATTAAGCGTCTAGGTCATAGCATTTTTAATGATTTTGTTTTTATTTGTCAAACCGGTTCTCTGCGACGATATTTGACAAAGTTCAGCAAGCTGTGCTGTGTGACCTAATCAACATATGTTCATGATCTTTATATCAACGTAGAGCTCCAATTAAGCTCTTTCGTTTGAGTATAATATTAATATTTTGAAATAAGTATATAATGCGCAACATGTGCCTGAATAACGAAAATTTTGAAAAACTGGCAAGTTTGAAGTCGATTTTCTAAAAAACCCCACTTTTTATTTCTTTTATTTTTTATTCACAGTTAGTTAATAGAGCAGTCTATCAGAACCTACCAACAGAAATTGTAATATATTGTTTGTATGGCCGCTATTAAGACTCGAATCTCGTGCTATGGGCGTTTTGAACGGGACTTCGCACAGGCGTTCTGCTGAGCAGAATTTTGGCCTATGTAAGGTTTTTCTTATTTATCGTTAGCAGTTACCTCAATATCCGAACATAAACATTAATAAAATTTGGAGTACTGTACTTAAAAGAATATACTTCGAAGTTCGTATCCACAAGTGCGGGCGCAGGACTTCCTCCTAATACGGGGGAATGCAGATCGTTAGAGAATTCTCTAAGCCCTTTTGATTTTGGCTTTGAGTTTGAAATACTGAACTTGACATGTAATTGTTATGTTTTCTTATGTCAAACAGATATGCAGTGCATATTCATATGTACGATTTAGTATCTGACGCTTAGGAAGTATGGTTTATTTTGTGCGCGTACGGACTCTTTCGTAAAATTACAAGCATTTCGTGGCCTGTAAGGCTTCAGACGTGTTAGTCATGTGTTTAGGTTTCATTTCTATTTTCAGTGACTCATGCAGGGTTACTTACAATTTGCCCTCTTGACTTAAGTTTGTCCGGGAGTCTAGATGTTACCTATCTTCTCCGTCAATACATAGGGCGAAGCTCACACACCTTGAAAATCACGCCAGTGCCAAGTAAATAAATATTGTTAGAATAAATATTGTTGCTTCACTGGCTTATACGCTCAGATATTGAGGTAAGTACTAACATTAAATGGAAAACCTTACATAGGTCGAAAGTCTGCTCAGCTGAGCGTCTATGCGAAGTGCGGTTGAAAACTCTCACAGCACGAGATTCGAGTACTAATAGCGGCCATACAAACAATATATTACAATTTATGTTGGTAGGTCCTGGCAGACTACTATATTACCTAACTGTGAATAAAAAGTAAAAAAAAAAATAAAAGGTGTTTTTTTTAGAAAATCGACTTCAAACTTGCAAGTTTTTGTAAAGAAAGACTTGCAAGTCTAAAAACGATTTTCTAAAAAAAAAAAAAAAAAAACCTTTTATTTTTATAATGCAGTTAGATGCAAAGGTGCAAGCGAGCTGGACAAGAATGATGAAAATAATACCTGGAGAAGGGGAACAAGAGGGACAACGGACAAACACAAATCTCCAAACACAGCTAGGTGACTGGTGTGCGACCGAAAAAATCCGCCTGGTCCGGGTATCGAACCCGGGACCTCTCCATTACAAGTGGAGCGCTCTACCAACTGAGCTAATCAGGGGTTGGACGTCAGTAGAGCAAACGGGTTTTATCAGCTGCCACCAGTCTAACGTCAACAAGGGTGAAGCTTGGAATTTAAGGTTATTATTATAATGCAATTAAATGCAAAGGTGCAAGCGAGCTGGACAAGAATGATGAAAATAATCCCTGGAGAAGGGGAACAAGAGGGACAAAGGACAATTATTATAATTGCATTATAATAATAACCTTAAATTGCAAGCTTCATCCTTGTTGGCGTTAGACTGGTGGAAGCTGATAAAACCCGTTTGCTCTACTGACGTCTAACCCCTGGTTAGCTCAGTTGGTAGAGCGCTCCACTTGTAATGGAGATGTCCCGGGTTCGATACCCGGACCAGGCGGATTTTTTCGGTCGCACACCAGTCACCTAGCTGTGTTTGGAGATTTCTGTTTGTCCTTTGTCCCTCTTGTTCCCCTTCACCAGGGATTATTTTCACCTTTTATTTATTTAATTTTTTATTTACAGTTAGGTAGTATAGCAGTCTGCCAAAGCCTACCAACAGAAATTCTGATATATTGTTTGTATGGCCGCTATTGGGACTCGAATCTCGTGCTGTGAGAGTTTTGAACGGGACTTCGCATAGACGCTCAGCTGAGCAGAATTTTGACCTATGTAATGTTTTCTATTTAATGTTAGTACTTACCTCAATATCTGAGCGTAAAAGCCAGTGAAGCAGCAACACTTATCCTAACAATATTTATTTACTTGGCACTGGCGTGATTTTCAAGGTGTGTGAGCTTCGCCCTATGTATTGACGGAGAAGATACGTAACATCTAGACTCCCGGACAAATTGAAATCAAGAGGAAAAAGTCGAAGTAACCCTGCATGAATAACTGCAAATAGAAATGAAACCTAATCACATGACTCACACATTTGAGGCCTTACACGCAACGAATTGCTTGTTATTTTACGAAAGAGTCCGTACGCGCACAAAATAAACCGTACTTCCTAAGCGTCAGATACTAAATCGTACATATATATATGCACTGCATATCTGTTTGACATAAGAAAATATGACAATTACATGTCAAGTTCGGTACTTCAAACTCAAAGCCGAAAGCAAAAGGCCTTAGAGGAATTGTCTAACGATCTGCATTCC